GAACAAAAAAACTACCAGAATAGTATTGTGCAGCTTCTTCCTTAAATTCTCTCCTTCCAGAATTTGAAGCTCTGCTTCGGCCAGGCGATCTTGTAGCTCTCGCACAATTCTCTTATTCTCTTCAAATTCTGTCCTTGTTTCTGAAGCAGATAGATCGGCCATCTAGAATAAAGTAAATAATAGATGTTTTGAACTTATGAGTAGACAGATATAGCAACATTTTTAAAACCCCTACAGCATTAATATTACCTTAAGTTTCTCATTTGCAGCTTCTAACTCGTGTTTCAATGTATCAATCTGCATCCTTTGAGATGAACATCTCTCCTGCAAAAACATGCCTGCAATATTGGAAAGCTGACACAGCATGAAATCAAGAGAATAGCATCTGATACAAACCTCCACGGCTTTTGATTTTCTTGTCAAGGTATCTAATTCTGCACATGACTTCCCAGTGTATTCCTTATACTTCACCACCTCATCCTTCAAATCTTTAATCTCTCGTACATGGCGAACACGGTCATCTCTAACTTGTTGCAGTTCCCCTCGAAGGCATTTGAGCTCATTTACTAATGATTCCTTTTGCTTCAGTGCATCATCAAGTGAAGCCTACATGCAAATTATGTTTGATACTCAGTAAAGGCATGTGCTATAGTATGGAATTGCAATTGAATAAAATGGGTCATATCCCAAGCAAACTGTCTCTATGTTGACCAACAATTTCAATATACAATGATCATTACCACAATGAGTTTGAATTAGGCAGATACTAGCGTTCAATAAACAAAAAAAGTCAACAACTTTCAAGAATTGCGAAACCAGTCAAATTCTTCAGATGAAACAAAGGAGTAAATATGCTCCTCAGATGAATGCTGCACAGATACTTACTTTAAGTGAAGTCAACTGATCTTGCAATGCCTTATTGTGTCCCCTAGAATTGCTTAGGGTCTCCACTACGGTTCTTTTCTCATCTTCAACTCGTTTGAGAGACTCGGTGGTTGTTTCAAGATCAGATTGGAGTTTGCTATTGTACTGCTGTAGACTCTTGTTGTACTCTTGTGCTCGATTATACAAATCCTCAGATGAAGCAACCTGCAGAGCTTAACAACTTTAGGCATATGCATAATGCAGATTTTGAAAAACCGGAGGGGATTTAGTTATCAAAATCATATGCTTATATTACTCTTTGCTCAGCAACTAATTTCTCCTCCCGGACTTTTTCAAGCTCCACTGAAAGAGAATCTTGCAACTTCTCGGCAACATCCCTTGCTTCCTTTTCTCTTCTGTGACTAGTAATTGCATCCTGCATGCCAAACAAAAGAATTAAAAATACAAAATACGAATAGAAGGATAAAAAGTTGAAGAAATAAGCAGGACATATAATTATATCACAAAATTAGTGCACAATGCCATGATTGGAAAACTTACCAGCTTCTCTGATTCTTCCTTTGCAACTGTCTTTTCTAAAGTAGCTATGTCTTCCCTCAGCTTTGAACTTACGGCATTGAGCTCATCTACCTTGTTCTTCATCTCCACCTCTTAAGAATAAAAATCAACACATATTTTACAAATCTGTTCCTTTTTACAACTAGCCTTAATTTTTTATCAATCACATTAGAAGCCACATAGTTTCTCGTGTGAACATAATATTATCTACAAAGGCAGATAGTTTCATGAATAAAAAATACAAAATTACCAGTATCCGTGCACTTTTGTTCAGCAGAACTCAATGCATTCCGAAGCTTTTCTTCCTCAAGAATATGGCCTTCCTCAACCTGCTGGAACCATTTGATGCAAAGCTTAAGCCTCTTAGTATAATCAGCTAACTGGTCCGCTTTCCCCTGGCACATAACCAAATAGAAAACGTTATAGAAAAAACAATTCAACAATTCATAGTTCAAAACAAGTAGGAACCTATTTAAAATATACCAGCCAACAGTTGGGTAAGAAATAGACCTTATGATCAAACTTCTTCACTTTTAGCTTCTCATTCAACAATGCCTCAACTTCTTCCTTCGTGAACTCAACACTGGCACATTCAGAACCCTCTGTGCTGCCTATGTCACTAGTAGGTGCTGCCTCTTGTCTAACAGAAAGTGGCGGTCGTGGGCGGCCCATGCTACCTTGTGCGTCTGTTTTTCTTGTTTCAATCCTCCTGCGCTTGTCTACGGGAACTTCATCAGCACTACTCTTTTTCTACACAAACAAAAAACCAAAATTAACCTCTTTTTTCAAGGCTATTGTACATAAAGATGCCAGTCATTGTGTCACCGAAATGAACTAAATAACCATAAAAAGGTGTTTGATCCATAAAATTCACCATTTGGAACATTGCAGCATACAATTCTACTCGAAGGGGATCAATAAGATCATAAAAAGAACTAAGTAAACAAAACCCCAATTTCATTTCTTTCTTTTTCCATTGCTTCAGCACCCAAACAACAAAATCGTCAGCCACCCAATTAAGCAAACAAAATCTAAGATATAGAACTTTGTTTCTTTCATTTTCTTAAAAACCAAACATACCCAGAAGGAAAAGATTATTGCTATGAAATAAACAGGTAAATTAGAGCTTACAGTAAAAGGACTCCGAGGAGCCCTATTCTGGTTGCGAGAAGCCATTAATCAGGTCTCGTTCTCAGCCGTCGATCTGATAGAGCCGACGGTCGGAGATAGCGGTGTGACGTTCAGACCTTGGATTGTTCAGACTGGATTTTGAGTGAAATCGATTTGGGACTTGGGGGGAAGTTAGGGCTCGAGAGTTCAAAAAAGTGTGTCTGAGAGAAAGGGGAGAGAGAGAGAGAGAGAGAGAGAGAGCGACTGAAAATTTTGAAATTGGATCTGGCGGTACAAACTAACACGCTCTTCAACAAAGACGTTAGTCTTTATTTGGGCCGAACCGGGTTTTTGTGGACTACCACCAGCCAAGTCCAAGGGCCCAAGTTAATTAATTTATTATGGTTTTTGTTCTTTTGAATCTCACCACTTACCCACACTTTTCTTACACTTTATTAGATGATTTTTTTTCCATAACAGACCTAATTAGTAATTACTCAATTTCTCTTACACACACACAAACAAAAAAAAATTATCTTACACAACCATGTCTAAACCAACCCTACTACTTATTTTCTGTTTTGGACCGAACAATGGCCATGAAATCGTAAACACTACCGTGTGTTGTAATTCAAGATGAAATTCAATAATTTCTCAAATAATAGAAAGTATCGAGTACCTATTTTTCACCTCCCGTGTGTTGTAATTCAAGACTGTTGAGGATGATCTTGCATACAAGAGAAATAGTTGAAGGCTAATCACGAGAAGAACTAGATTTCAAGGTTGCAAATAAATAGCGTTATTTGAAAACCAAAGTGAGGTTGAGCGTTTTCATTAATTGTTTTTTCTTTTTATATTTTTATGACATAACAAGGGATTCATAATTCAAACTTAACCTGGATTTGTGTCACTATAAATTCATTGAATGAGTTTTGAAATTTCATTTTGGTTTCACTACACTTTAAATTTGATCATACGTCACTAGACCAAAACGGGAATATCGCATATTTGCTATACATTATTTGAAATTTCGATAGATAAATTTGAACTTCAAATGCTTTGTAGAAATTGCTTGTGAGTTTGTGGTTTCTGTGAAAATGGATTTTGATTCTTCCAAATATGCGAACAGTTTGAAATGACTCATAATTATGCTAGTATTTGGCTGGAGGATATGTCTCTCTCATTCATTGAACCAAGGTCTCTCTATTCTTCTTAATAAAATTTCCTATGTGTAAATAAAATAAATATTAAAAAAAGGTGTTTTATCAAGAATTTGTCATCTATTCATAATTGATTTGGAAATAGACACTGTTCCTTTTAATTTTGTGGGGAAAAAAAAAAACTTCAGATGGATGGTATTAAGATTAACATCATTGTCATAATCTCATGGAGTCCACGTGTCAAAATGACAGAGTCCGTGTTGGATCATTATCCAGCTTGTCAAATAGAAAATGCAACGAGGGACACTTGTCAACCTCCAATTGGACAAATCCATATCCAACTTATCCAAACCGGAAAATGTCAGATAAGGTCCTTGCCCAAAATCACTCTACATCACATAAGCATAGAACAAAACTAAACATCATCCACCACCAATCACATGCGCCCAGAAATATAATTTCCACATTTCTGCCTCTGTTTTATCTCACTTGGAAACTGATCATTGTTAAGAAGAAATAAAACCCAGAAAGAAAGGTAAGGCAAGGAGGTTAAGGAGAAATGGCACAAGCTATGGCTTCAATGTCTGGCCTACATGGTTCATCCCAGGCTGTGTTGGAAGGCAGCCTTCATCTAAGCGGCTCATCACGCTTGAACATAGCCAGCAGCACCAACAGGCTGGCTGTGACCAAGTCCGGGTTCGCCATAAGAGCCCAGCAAGCGCCTGCAGAGCCTGAAACTAGCCGTAGAGCCATGCTTGGTCTTGTGGCCGCTGGTTTGGCCTCTGGTTCTTTTGTCCAAGCTGTGCTTGCAGAGGCTAAGCCCATCAAAGTCGGTCCACCTCCACCCCCTTCCGGCGGATTACGTAAGCCCTTCAATCTTGTCCTTGTCACTTGTTTTTAGTCTTAGCAACGTACAAATTTCAGTTTATAATTTGAACCATTAATTGGATTGCGGTGCAAGTACATTATTACACATTAATTTAATTTGACCAACAAAAAATAAAGAATGTGGAATGCATGGAATTGTTTATTGGGTTTGTTCAAGAACTTATGGAGGTGAATTTGGTGTTATGGCAGCTGGAACTTTAAACTCGGATGAGCCAAGAGACCTTGACCTGCCATTGAAGGACAGGTTCTTCCTCCAGCCTTTGACCCCAGCTCAGGCTGCACAGAGGGCAAAGGACTCAGCCAAGGAAATTGTTGCTGTGAAGGAGTACATAGACAAGAAGGCTTGGCCTTATGTCCAGAACGATCTTCGTCTCAGGGCCTCGTATCTCCGATATGACCTCAAGACTGTGATTTCTGCCAAACCCAAAACAGAGAAGGAGCCACTCAAGGAACTCACTGGAAAGCTCTTCAAAGACATTGACAATGTAAGTCCATATATACTTGAACTTTTTGTCGCCAAGTAATTAACATGTTGATGACATGCCGTAGACAATAATGTACCTTCAATTCATATAATTTTCTTGTTTTTGGTGTTTGTGTTTGTGTTTGGGGACAGTTGGACCATGCAGCAAAGATCAAGAGCACCCCAGAAGCAGAGAAGTACTATGCGGCGACTGTTTCTTCCCTGAATGATGTTATTGCAAAGCTTGGCTAAAAAGGGATTAATGTATTTTTTATGTAAGGCTGTAAGCTTTATTTGACAGTTTATGAGACGAAATTATGTGGATGCTATTTGGAGGAAATCATTATCTTCACTCACATTCATGAATATTGCCACTAGCCTTGTTATATACTAGTATATTTTCACCAATGTTTTGAAAGGCGAGGCGTAAAGACAATGCATTTTTGGTTCAGCAAGGCGAGGCGTAAGTCTTTTGAGACATAATTATTTTTATAATTATAAGACAAATTTATAAATGATACAATATAATTAAACTAAACCACTAATTGTCATTGAAGCTTAATAATCAATCAAATATAACTAAATATAAGTACTAATTATAATAGTCAATCTTAAAACTCAATTGGTCATACGGTTGAGAGGGAGGCTGGTTCATAAATTGAGTGGAGGGTTAGAGCTTAATAGATATGCGGCTGAGAATAATGAATTTGGGGTTTAAGTCTGTTTGATTTGATTGTATTGGGTATAGGAGAGAAAGATTGATTTGTTAAACCAAACATTAACTTTCGCACAAAATAAAAAAGTTTAAAACAACACCCAAAACGCACAGGTTCATTAAAACCGCAAAGTGATCAAGTCCAAGGGGGTATGATCCCAATAAAGATAGGATGGATTTTCAGTAATTGTGGACGAAGCAGCGGGCATACCTGAAATGGATTGTCAGGAATGGTAGATGGAACAAGGATGCATAGCAGGCTTAAAACACGACACAAGTAGGACGCGCTGAGGCCGAGCTTTCCTCTACTACTCATTGGAGCTAGCATACGCAATTTTCCGTTGAAGGGCTCCACTATCAGGGCGGCCCCCACCCCCAAAAACACAACTAAAAGTTAAAACGGCATAATCTCACGAAAAAAAAAAAAAACAGAGGGTTCAACAAGTCATCTTCTTCCTTGTGCAGTTCCGCCTCATACTGCAAAGCACACGCCTTCTGACGCCTTGCCGTTGATGCTCACGGTAAGCATGCAAACAGCTAAACAAGGCAACGCTCGAGGCAATTTGCTCTCGCCTCGCTCCAAATTTTTAAAATTCCAAATTTGTCATATACTTTAACCCAACAACAATAACATTTTAGCAATTAGAACCACTCTTATCCAAATTCCATATAGTCTAGTAAACAACTTTAATAAGAATTCTAAACCCTAACTCTCCTCAATCCATATGGTTTAATAAACAACTTCAATAGGAATCTTGAATCTAATTCTCCTTAATCCAACTCTTCCTAATCTATGTCATTATTGTCTTGACCAACTGACATAATCCACATCTACAATAAATCATTGATAATTAAGTTGTGTGTATTGAAAATAGAGGGCTTTGACATTAAATACTACATAATGCATAACTTTTATATTTAAATACTAGCTTTGTAAGTTTAGGTACCAACATAATGGTACTGAAGTTCTATCGTATTAGTTACAAGATTTTGCCACTCATGCATTGACCAAATTTTTTGATGAACCTCACTTATTTTTTAATTTCTTGATGTGAAGTAAACACAGAAATTCTCCATAATTGGAATTTAATTACTGATTTGAATTCCAATTTCTAATTAGTAAACACACCATTAAAGCATCTCGTTACACCCAAATTTGAATTCTCCTCCGTCTAAACATGAGTTGGATCATGTATTAATTTATTGCTTAATAATATATGCCACATAAGAGGTGATTTGGTCCCTCTCCGCATATTACGTCAAAATATTTGGTATTTATTGCTTAATAATATATGCCACATAAGAGGTGGGTTCATCCCTCTCGGCACATTATATCAAAATCTGTGATAATTGGCGCCATTTATGCGTACACGCCAATAAACTAATATATATATATATATATATATAAGAGTAAAAATTTGAATGAGATAAGAAGTTTACATTGATCAGAAGAATTATGGATTTAGCTTCCGAGTTATTTATAAATATGTTTTTTTAAGAGAGATTTTTTTAGCTTCATTCTTGACATAAATATAAGGGAGTAACAAATTTAAAATCCAACGGTCCTAATATGTCTTGCTACTTTCCAAAGTCCTTAACCTTTCCCCTATAATATGATGGCATCCAAGAATCTAAGCCCAACTTTCGAAGTAGGATCCTCTTTACTCTTTCCTTCACACACACAAACCCAATTCCTAGTTAGAAACCTTAATTTCGCAAAACCCTGCTGTATTGTCTCTTCAATGGCACCCAAGCGCCCATCTTCTCTAGATGAGCCTCCGACTGCTTCTTATTTGGAAGAAAAGGTAGCCTCGTCCGAAGAAGAAGTACACAAAGAAAAAGAGGAAGAATCTAGATCCATATTTGAATCCGAGTCCAAGGAACCCGAGCCTCCAAAGGCAACACCCACTCATGTTGCTGAGAAGAAACCACCACCAAAGAAACTGAACTCGACTACTGTCAATTCAAAGCAGCAGTCTTCATCCTCTGGCTCATAGTCTGAGTCTGAATCCGATTCGGAATAGGATAAAGATATGGTGGTCAAGCCGATATCTTCGAAGCCAATGGAAGATAAGCTTAAGACCAAGAAGCCCATATCAAAGGCCTCGGCTACTACTACGCCGGCGGCAAGAGCCGGGTGGAAGCGGCCAAGCGAGAGCGACCCCAAGGATTCCAAGAGGCCCAAAAAGAAGATCCCAGACCCGGATCAGGAGCCAGACTATGCCGGAGAGGAAACGAAGAAGGCGGGTGGGGACGACTCGAAAAAGCTTTTCCAGAGGATTTGGAGCAATGATGATGAGATAACAATCTTGGAAGGCATGATTGATTACTCTACTAAGAAAGGGGCGAACCCATATTATGATATGGGTGCATTTCGTGATTTTATCAAGAAATCGTTGAAGGCCGATGTGAACAAGACCCAATTGCAAGATAAGATTCGTAGGTTGAAGAAGAAGTATGAGATGAATGTGGCCAAAGGAAAGGAGTATAATCCTATTAAGCCTCATGAGCAAAAGGTCTTTGACTTGTAGAAGAAGGTATGAAGCAGCGATGAAAGGTCCATTGGGGTCAGTGGGTTGTCTGAATAGTCCAAGTCTAATGGGAAGGCTAGGACAAATCAGAAGGGTAACAACAAGACTTTGGCTTCACTTAAAGCTGAGCTTTTGAGTTCATCGAAGCCCTCAAAAGGAGTGTGAGAAGGTGGAATTTGGTTATGAAAGTTTGAGTGAGGTGATTGGGTATGATAAGGGTTTCAGCGAGATAGGGTTGCCGGAGGGTGTTATGAAGCAGGGCTTGGAGTTGATTGGAGGAGCCAGGCGAGCTGAGCTGAAGGAGAAGTGAAAGAAGCTGCATGCTGCCGAATTGGACCTTTTTGTGAAGAGGAGTGAGTTGATAAGAGAGATCAGGCTAAGGTGATTTTGGAGACGTTATACTATATGAGCATTAAAACATTGGATTAACTATTTAAAAGTTTTAATAATTTGGTGTTCGTTTTTTAATTTTATTTTGTGCAATCTCGCTAATTCGTAAGAGCTTACATCAAAATTCAAATACATTTTTTTTTCTGATATTTTCTTTCTAAACGTGGTAAATCCAAATTTGATTCCTCGTAGCCAAAAGAAATACTTCGGGGAGCGCTTCGTCAAAATTTGTATTTCCCGCTTCACACGAACGCAGAAGCACACGAAAAGCCCCCAGTTCTAAACATCATCATCTAACCGTCCAATTTTTTTAAAACGACCGGCTACAGATGTCGATCCGCGTGACTCTCTCTGATTGGCTCTCTTTCTACCCAAGCGGCTGTGCTCCCCTATATAAACTAAGAAACCCCTAATCCACTTCACCCTCCTCTGTTATAACTTAAAACACACAGCTAGACGTAGATTTCTCCTCACACGTATCCTACTTTCAGATTCCATGGCAGGAAGAGGAAAGTCAATTGGCTCTGGTGCCGCCAAGAAGGCCACATCTCGTAGCAGCAAGGCCGGTCTGCAATTCCCGGTCGGCCGTATCGCCCGGTTCTTGAAAGCCGGCAAGTACGCCGAGCGAGTCGGTGCTGGCGCACCGGTCTACCTCGCCGCCGTCCTCGAATATCTCGCTGCTGAGGTCAATATCTCAACCCTAATTTCATTTAATTTTTTATATTTTCTCTTTAATTTTGTTGTTGTGAATATAAATTAATTTTATGAAATTTTAATAATTGTAGGTGTTGGAATTGGCTGGGAACGCTGCTCGGGATAACAAAAAGACGAGGATTGTGCCGAGGCACATCCAGTTGGCCGTCAGGAACGACGAGGAGCTGAGCAAGCTGCTCGGTTCCGTCACCATCGCTAACGGCGGCGTTATGCCCAACATCCACAACATGCTCTTGCCCAAGAAAACTGGCACCGGCAAATCTGGCCCCTCTGACGACTAGAAGAGTAACCGAGCTTCTCTCAATTCCCTTTTGTAAAAAAAGTAAGATGGAAAATAGAGTGATTTAGGGAGGTTAGCTGATCTGTTGGATTGTTGTTATGAATTTTATATTCGATCTACTTAAAGAAACAAATTGTGTTCCAATCGTTTATTTATTTTCTTATCCAACTCCATGATATCAAATTTCCACTCGGAATTTTCAAATTACAGTTGCGAACCGATAAAATAATGGCGCAAACAAAATTGCTGTGAGTTGCAATTAAACACTCTTGAATTCCCAATTGGGAAATTTGGAAACTTTAGTGAATTAAACTGCACCAGAAGGGTTTTGTTTTTGTTGGGATCTGTTTTGTTCTCTGATGGTGGCCTTGGCTGAGACGTAATATGCTATCATGAACAATCCATGGAAGAAGCATAAGATGCCTCCGATGGACAGAATGCGATGGTGTGATAATCCGCATGATTTTCTTGATTTTGAGTTAGAAAAAGCCCCTGCCATCAGCAGTGAGAATCCCACAGCCAATGCGATCCTGCAAAACAAACATGCGTTGATTAGATTCGGGCTTGGGCTAATCATGTTTATGGTGTTTGAATTAGGGTTGATAAGTACCATGACAAAATGAGGGAAGCAGCAGATAATTGCCTATTTGCTGTGGCTTTGGTATAATCTTCCCTGGACCAGATGCAAATGCACCCACCAAGCAAGTTGCCAATGATATGGGCAACTGCTAGAAGCACAGCAGCAGCCAACCCCAGTTTGAAGGCTTGGTAGCTTGGGTCTCTACACTCAAAGATCCACACCTTCAAGTGCTTCACCTGTTTTCATCCCAAGTAATTTCAATATAGTCAATCAATTAACTTAAATTTCCTTTCTTCAATTACAACTATTGTATGTATATGGTAAAGTACCTTGTTTTGAGCAATTTCAGCTTGGATGCCAAGTATCCCGGCCACTACGTCCATAAGCAAGACTGAGAGGCAGACCAGAGGGGTGAGGTTTTTCACCATGTTTGTAGGATTGGTTGAAGGCGGAGGGGATGGGTGTGAGATTTATATGCAGATGCTGCCTCTGCTGGGTTTATTTAGTAGAGGAAGGGGGAATAGGTTATAAAGGAGGGGGAGGCATGCATATTTTATCTGTCTATCTGACATATTAGGAGGGAAATTAGCTGTGATGCTTGGGTAAAAGCTTCTTTTGTCTTCACATTTTTCTTTATTCTTCTTTTAACTTGTTATTCGTTTCTTTTGGAACATGGATTCTTTTCATGGGAAGCAAGGAAAGCAGGGTATCAATCACCTGCAGGTGTGAATGGGAATGAGATTGGGAATGGTTAACTTTGATCCTTGCGTGTATGACAACTCACGAGAATCACCAATACTTCAAATTATTCCTTCAATTCAACCAGTCCCTTTGCCTAAAGAGCTCTCGTTTTATTTTTGGACAAGTCTTAAAGAGCTCAATTATCTCAATATTGAGTTCTAACTAAGAATGTGATGGTCATGGTTATTTTTGTATGTGAGGTTCTGTGTTCGAGTCTCGCCTTTCAATATCGCTTGTATGTGAAATTCTGTGTTCTGGGTCCACCCTCTCAATATTGCTTGTATAATTGAAAAAAGGGAGTTTCACTAAAACACCCAAAACGGAGGTTGAAATTATAAAAAAACCCAACACCCAAAACACTTTATAAACACACCCAAAAAGTTGACTTTGAGGTTGATTTTGGGTGTGTTTCTATATTTAAATAATACTTGAATTTTTTTATAAATACATGTCTAGAATTGGATTTATTTATAAATTTGTATTGAAAAAAATGTGTCGTCCAAGAGCTATAGACTGCAGTCTTGGAAAACCAATACTTAAGTGAAACCGTTGGAAGACTTGGCGGCATTAGGAAAAGGAAAAACTAAAATAAAAAAGACAAGGACCTAAGAGAAAATGCAGTAGCTTGACACGTGGCAGTTTATTTCAGTTGCCTCCTGTATGATTACAGACTATTCTGGAAAGAACTGGTTTCCTCGATCAACTGTTCCCAGAATGAAAGTTCTAAAGAAAGCTAAGGGAACACCCAGAAAGGACTTGTCTTTCCCTTCCTTATTCCAATTTTCTCTCTGTGATTCTGTTAATTCGCGTTCTAGAGGAGACGATGGCGGCGTACAGATGGAAGTGCTTCGACGAGAACGAAGACCGTCCCGAAAAGCCTCGAAGCTATGGCGTCACGGAAATGAGAAGCCCCCATTACACCCTCTTAAGCCAAAACGTCCTTCAGGTATTCCCAAATCGCTTTGTTCTTTTCTTATTAGTTACTTAAATCAAAGTGCTGCACATTTTACTTCTAAATGTTTGACAAATCTTTATGTAAATTACAATTTTTTTCTTACTCCGATCGCGTTGCATGCTGTGAAATGTCAAAGATTCCTCTTTCTTTCAAGATTTGACAATGATATGGGGTTTTGGGTGCAAGATCAATGTGTAATTGTGGAATTTGATGTGGGTTATCAACATCTCTGTCGTAATTTGGAAATGTTTTTTCTTGGCAGGATATTTTTGAGTCCGTGGGGCAGTTCGTTGATGGGTTGAAGTTTGCTGGAGGTTCCCATAGCTTGATGCCCAAATCGTTTATTAAGGAAGTGACTGATGTTGCTCACAAACATGACATATATGTCAGCACTGGTGACTGGGCTGAAAATTTGCTTCGCAAAGGTCCCTCAGCTTTCAAAGAGTATGTGGAGGTGAGAAGCTTTTAAGAATTCCACTCTTTCAGTGTTGTAAATTTGTGGGTGGTGTTATTGGGGGCTTTAAATAAGCATGTCCTGTTATGATTTCTTTAGGAATGCAAGAGCTTGGGGTTTGACACAATCGAGTTGAATGTGGGATCTCTTGGAATTCCTGAAGAAACTCTTCTGAGATTTGTGCGCTTAATTAAGAGCGGTGGCCTGAAAGTGAAACCTCAGTTTGCAGTCCAGATTAACAAGTCTGACATTCCCATAGGGGATAGAGCATTTGGAGCCTTTTTGATTGATATGTTTACCTTCATAACTAGATATTGCCTGAAGAGTTGTGAATGGAATTTTTAGATTTTGTTGTTGGGAAGAAACTGAATGAGAAAATTGCCACTCCTCTTTCTTTTGTCCCGCTGTTATGGAAAGGGTCACTCATTTTCTGCAAAGAACTAGTATGGTACAACTGTCGAAGGTAAAAGGAGAAAGACTTTAGCTCATGTGAAGAAATGTAGAATCTATGAGGAAATGGATGAAACCCCAGATAATCAAATTTGTAAACCCCAAATAATCAAATTTGTCTGGTGTATGTAATGTTAGTATCTGTTTTCACTTTGATGTCCAGGCAGCATAATACCAAGAAAACGAGTTGACCATTACTAATATTACTGAATAGGGCACTATAGTCTATATAAAAACTATTTGGATTCAAACACTACTACATAAACTTTTCAAATTGTAAAAGGAAGAACCGTTTTGGTCCTATATCCACAATTACCCTCTGCCCACAAGTTTGTGTTTGATGATATTATTTGGCTTGTCTGAAGTTTGCTGCAGTCATGTTTTCAGAGTGATGATTGTTCATTCTTCCATTCATCTTCCTGATATTGTTTTTTGACTGTGATGTTAACATTTTCTCTGAACATATGATCAGAAAGGAGAGGTAGTAGAATCATCTCTATGGTTGTTGGTTATGACTTATAGCATGACCATTGTCTCTGTTTGCACAGAATTTGTTGAAGATGTTGATCTGCTGATTAGAAGGGCTGAGAGATGCTTAGAAGCAGGGGCTGACATGATAATGATTGATGCTGATGATGTCTGTAAACAAGCTGATTCAATGCGAGCAGACATAATTGCGAAGATCATTGGGCGTCTTGGTGTTGAGAAGACCATGTTTGAAGCATCAAATCCAAGAGCATCAGAGTGGTTCGTCAAACAGTATGGTCCAAGGGTATAATGCACTTTCATAAACTTTTACATAATTTCTTTTATTGGGAAAATGCGTTGCATGTCATTATATCCTTCTTGTTTGCCTGAATTTTCAGGTGAATCTGTTTGTGGATCACTCCCAAGTGATGGATCTGGAGTGCCTCCGGGGACGAAGCTTGGGTAAAAACCATACATCTGTGCTGGGCTCCTCGTATTTTCTGTTCTGAACTTTTTGTAATAAGAAGGGGGAGAAAGTTATGGTAATATGTGTGTGTCTCTTGTTGGATCTGGTCTTGTTGTCTTGTGAATTTGTGCTGTTGATGTAACCTTGTTCAATATAACCTTTGTTCCATTGTGTAAAACATTACTTTCTAAGATTTTGAGAATCATTGTTGCAACTGATCTCCACTCATGAAACTCATGACTTTTGTCTCCTCACACCAAGCTGAAATTCAATGATGTATTTGTATTACAATACAGTATTTATGATATTTCCACCAGCAATTGTATTCTTTTATGCATTTTATTTTTGTAAACGAGGGAAGTTCAGGTTCTACTCTAAAATCAATTGGCAATGGGGGAGTAGCTCAACTCATTATAAACCCAGGCTTGGTCTCATAACTTTTAAACGTGGAACAAACACTCCTAACAGTAAATGTATGGTGCATATTGACAACAAATATAAAGCATTATATTATAGTATCAATCTTGACAAAAATAAAAAATATAATAATGACGAATGAACAAGTGAGGTCGGTGTCAGACCCCAAAAAAACATATAAAATGAAGAAGTGATATCTGTAATTCTTCTCGTAGCTACGTCGTCACGCGTGCGGGTGGCCGCTGCCCAGCTAACACCTGAATATCTAACTCAATCTAAACTATTGGCTCAACAGCTTATAGTCTGGGAATGAAAATAGTCTTATGTTGTTTCTTTTCTTTTAACGTAGTTAATTGATTTTTTTTCAAAGGTAGAAAAGGGTTTTAATATAATAATTAGTTAGTACCAATAAGATATTTCTTACTATTAAACTTCAAAAAGAAAGAAAAGAAATTGTGTTTTGAGTTGGTGGTGCATAGATCATCACGTGCTCACCTTCTTCCTCCAGATTCAATTAGATGGAGATGAGCAGCTTCTAGTCTATTTAAGAATTAAACATCCGTTCACAGAAGTACCAGTCTCATAATTCCTCCTAGTCCTAACCACCAGTGAACTTTGAAACTTAGCAACTGAAAGAGCCATGGCCACCCAACCCATCTCAAAGAAGACAGCCTGTGTGATCGGAGGTACAGGGTTCGTGGCATCTTTGCTGGTGAAGCTGTTGCTAGAGAAGGGCTATGCCGTCAAAACCACTGTCAGAGACCCTGGTTAGGCTTCCTCTTCTTCCCCTTTTCTTTTCAATGTCAACTTTTACTACAGTTTATCTGTTGCTTGCAAGTTCTGTTATTTTATTTTATTTTTTTGGGATCAAGTTCAAGTTATGCCCTGAAACCATATGTAAAAACATCAAATGGGAAACATATATAATGCTGTGGGCCCAGTTTCATTTCTTCTGCTTATGATGTTCTATATAACCGTTTGTGATGACATTAGCTGAAACATGAAAATGGGGTTATCTTTGATGAGACTAAAATGATTGATGCCAAGGTGTTACATAGTTCACACCATTATGTAGAGGTGTTAGTGATCAACCAAAGAAGCTGAAAGTGTACAAAATGATTTAGTCAGTCATATGAACATACTGTTGGAATACATTAAGGAGACTGATTCAGTTGCCAGATTAAGGGTTTTAATATGCTGGCATGAATTTCATTCATTTTGTGCATTTGGGTGCAGACAATCAGAAGAAGATCTCTCACCTCACAGCACTACAAGATTTGGGTGAACTAGAAATTTTAGCAGCAGATCTAACTGATGAAGGGAGCTTTGATGCCCCCATATCAGATTGTGACCTTGTTTTCCATGTTGCCACACCTGTCAACTTTGCCTCCGAGGACCCTGAGGTACAGATTTGTTGGAATTGCTTAATTAAATTTGAAATTCAATATAGCTGTCGCATCTTAAGGTCAATGCTACCTTTTCATTTCCAAAAAACAGAACGACATGATCAAACCAGCAGTTCAAGGGGTGCTAAACGTTCTGAAAGCATGCGTGAAAGCCAAAACAGTTAAACGCGTTGTTTTGACATCATCAGCAGCTGCAGTGTCGATCAACACACTTAACGGAACAGGTTTGGTCACAGACGAGAACGATTGGAGTGATGTTGAGTTCTTGAGTACTGCAAAGCCACCTACTTGGGTAAATTGCCCAATCATTTTAGTCTCTAAGCTTTAATAAGACAGTAGGCCTATACTGCCTATACTGAACTCATTAGACTTAGGTGATTGAACAAAAGCTTTGTCTCAAATTTTCAGGGCTATCCTGTCTCCAAGACACTGGCTGAGAAGACAGCTTGGAAATTCGCCGAAGAAAACAACATTGATCTCATCACCGTCATCCCTTCTCTTATGGCTGGTTCTTCTCTCACTCCAGACGTCCCCAGCAGTATCGGCCTAGCCATGTCTTTAATTACAGGTGTAAAACCAGAGGCCAGAATATGCTACACGTCCATATTCCTTTGACTTGAGGCCTTGTATCTAGAATGGGGAAAAAACAAAAAAAAACTACTTGCACAGTACCTCAGATAGATGGGTGGTGTTCTGATGGTTCCTTTTAATGTTTTACAGGAAATGACTTCCTCATAAATCATGCCTTGAAAGGGATGCAACTACTATCAGGTTCAATCTCCATTACACATGTGGAGGATGTCTGCCGGGCTCATATATTTTTGGCTGAGAAAGAATCTGCTTCTGGTCGGTATATATGCTGCGCTGTCAATTCCAGTGTTCCTGAGCTTGCAAAGTTCCTCAACGAAAGATACCCTGAGTACAAAGTCCCCACTGAGTAAGCCCCTACTCCAAGTATTCCAACATCTAGATATCTATATTACTGCTTTAAAACAATATTGAATAGTTAGGAGGTAACATTCAAAGGACATGCCCTTTAAAACAATTCATGTCTCATCTTTGGGGAACCTTGAAGTGAACTTCAATAGTTATTGCACCATTTCAGATGGTTATTTTGACTCTCATTTGCAATTGCAGGTTTGGAGATTTTCCCTCGAAGGCCAAGTTGATCCTCTCTTCAGAGAAGCTTATCAAGGAGGGGTTCGACTTTAAGTACGACATTGAACAAATATATGACCAAGCTGTGGACTACTTCAAGGCTAAGGGGCTGCTGCAGAACTAGAACTAAGTCTCGGTAGTTTAATTATGATCCTGTTACATGAATCACATATGTGTGATTGGCGTTTATCTAGCTATGTTCTGTCTTGGCCGTATGTACTCTTGTAAAATTCAATCATAATTTGTTGAGTTTGGCAATGGCGTATCTTGTGTGCAGTTTCTGAAGCATGATAAGTTGTCATTTCCTGGTAATAAAATACAACAGAACAAAGTCACAGCGACATGTTGCTACCTTCTGATAAAATGCTTTCTTGCTTTTTGTTCAACCACAAGAAAAGCACAACTTCTTTATCTCATCTGTAAGGCCAAGTTCATATTCCAACGGGTAATATGTCGTTTCTACATGATGGTAATCGTCTAAGTACGGTGATTAACTCAAACCGCATATTAACTGCAAAATTTCATGTTCCCATTAAAATTAAAACCATTTGTTGTTTGCTTTCCATTTTTGTTTAACATTATTGATAAGCATATGTTTTCTGTGTCTTCCTGCATTATGGAAGAAAAGTTGTTGATCAGGTGGGGTTCCTGGTGCTCTTAAGACAAAATTTTAATAATCATTGTACCCTTGAAGAAAATTACTCCAACAACTTTTTTTTTCTCCTACCAACCATGGCAGTGAAAATAACAGCGATGGTCCAATTGTGATGGTGCCATGTAGAAAATACAAAATACATGTTCACCATGATTTAGAAAACACTAAAGTGGGCTGGTAAATGGTGGTTGGCAAGGAAAAATAAAAGCACCCTACACAGGAAAAATATGGAAGTGCTGATACAGAAAACCAGTTTGTCCTGTCCAAGTGGATTAAAAGTGAGATCCCCAAAGTCTTTATTGTAGATGAACTTTAATGAAAGCAAAATATTCTACACGACACGAGGCCCTACATTTAAATCCTTCAATCTAGAGGTTTGGCTCGTTTCTGTAAAAGCAATTGAAATCGTAAAATGAACAAAGTTGAATATACAATTGCAAGGCTTCAGCTTATAAGTTTGATGTCTGCTTGTCTCTCTTCAGCGTTCAATGAAAGGATCCTGATTGTCCAGCAGATCTATTTCAATGTAGGTTTCTTCAGCTGCATCGTTTGAGGTCTGCTTGTAGTTCTCCGTGTCATGTTTCATCATCAAAATCCATGATAGGCTCTGTACAATGTCCCTCATGGAAGGCCGGTTTTTCGACAGACTACTCACACATTTGTAAGCAAGATCAGCAACATTAACGAGTTGTTCTACATTGAATCTTCCATCAAGACGAGAATCCACAATCTCTTGCCACCCCAGTTTATCTTCCGTGTCGATTGTCGCCTACCCATCAGCATGAAAACTCATCGAATGTGAATGTTACAGAATTATTATTATTATTATTATTATTATTATTTGAAATGAAGGACAATGCAACTTTGGTGAAGGTGAAGGCCAAGTAGCCAAATGAACAAGAGACGGTTCTTACAAGTTCCACATATTCCATAAGACCCTGCTGCGGGTTCCTGCCTGTAATAATTTCAAACAGCAGCACTCCAAAACTATAAACATCGCATTTCTTAGTATATGTCTTTGTCAATACATACTCGGGATCAACATATCCATATGTTCCCCTGATATTAGATGAACGAAGTTTGCTCCTGTCTTGTCTTGAAAGCCCGAAATCAGCAACCTGCTTGATAAAAACAATAGTTATACATTTTTTGGTAAGAGTAATTAACCTCCAGTTTAGCAACAAGTTCTTTGAAGGCTAATTAGTATTGAACTTTTGCAACTAGGTCTTTCATGTGTTTTGATACCACATTTGTTAACAGTAAAGAAAGAAAAAAAAGGGTCACATACCCTGGCCCTCATTGACCGGTCCAACAGTATGTTGGAAGACTTGATGTCGCGGTGCACAACAGAAGGAACAGCCTGCCATAAGGAGAATGGAGCTAAATAAGCAGGCAGTTCCAAATCAGTTCTATTGACCAGGAAACTAAAATGAAAGCATACCCCATAGTGTAGGTATTCCAATCCCCTTGCAATATCAAGAGCTATGTCAACTCTCAAATCCCAGCTCAATGGCTTGCGATTATCCCCTGCATGTCCCAACAATCTAAGATATGTGCACAACAGAAGTACAAATTGTCCTTTTATCATCCATCAAAATGAACTTGACATAAACTTTGGTACAAGTGATTATCACAGCGGTCTCGGGCTTATCGATCGCTAGACTGAATTCAAGTTATAGGAAATTTCATGGGAATGACCATGAAGACCAGAAACAGTCATACATTGACTCAATGAACCTTGAATAGTATAATTGAATTGCTTTAAACGATACAATGTGTGGCTATCCATGTTAGAAAATAATGTGAATTGTCGCGTTGTGGAAGAAAAAAACAAACTGTGATTCTCGAGAGTTGTTACCATGTAAATGAGAAAACAGACTGCCATTACTCATGTACTTGTAGAGCAGCATATGCTGCCCTACTTCTGCCATATATCCCACCAAGTTGACAAGGCTCTTGTGGTGCAATCTTCCAAGTAAGAGAACCTGAACACAGATTTATGCACGTGCGTAAATACATAGACAATTCAATCAAGGCATGTACATGTACTAAAATTATATCAATCAATGAATGGTATGCAAATGCAATGAACCAATTACCTCAGCCAAAAACTCGTTTTGGCCTTGCGTGGAATTAGCAGCCAGAACTTTGACAGCAAAAGTCTCACCAGTGCTCATTTGGGCCTTGTAAACAGGCCCAAACGCTCCTTGCCCAATAGCTGTCGTAAAATTATAAGTCGCCTTCTGTACATCTCTGCCAACAGAACCCAGTAAATCACTGTCATACATAGACATATGCATAGAGAAATATTTATACAGACCTGTTGGTCCACTCCGAAGTTCTGGGCGAGTCTTGGCCAAAGTTGGAGAACTCAGAGACTGTGGTGTTGGTGTTGCTGGAGTCAACGCCATTGTTACTCACTGCCTTGACTGGTAATTTGGGTGCTTTTTCTCTCTGCGCTGAAATGGACCTCTGTGATTGTATCCTTCTGCACCTTCTTCTTCGGATTCTGAGGCAGCAGACCACTCCAATTCCTAGAACCAATCCCAATGCGAACCCTGCGACAATGCCTACCACCAAATGCAATATGATTGAGTTCATCATCTTTTTTTTTTTTGGTTGGGTTTATAAATCAAAACCAACCCACCAAATGACGGCGTGATGGCTGTGTTACTGTTTTTTGACGTTCTTTTAAAGAGAAGAGGCAGCCATGAAGGTGTCGTTTATGTTGTCCCCTAGAAGGGTAGAAAATCAAAATGAGTAAGTTTGGTGTAAATTTGTAATTGGCTTTGCTAATAACGTAATTGACATATGATCAAACGTGACACAAGAGAACTTAATTGACAGAAAATCAATGGAGATAAATTATTGGACGTAGTAAGATATGTGCATAGTATATATGTCGTAGCTAAAACGAGAAAAATTGTTCGACACCTAATTTATTGGGCAGTGTTTTTATTTTGTTCTACTTTTGGATGACTACCATATGAGCGGAGATCTTGTAATTAATTTCATCAAATCCGGTTGATTGAAGATGTTCTCTTCATTTTAAAACTCCGTGCTTGAAATTGAACAACATTTCTGAAAGTTTGCACATATGGAAATTGCCAGGTCAGAAAACCCATTTCATATCCCAATCCAATAATATTGTGCCACCTGCCCAATCTTCCCAAAGCCATCTCTCTCCTGCTGGTTCAAACCAAAGCTCAGTTTTTTCATTTTCTCTCCTCATACACACGCAGAATCCGGCCTTCCACTCGAATTCAACAAATTCAAACAAAAAAAACCCAGAGAAACCGGTGGTTCCTCACCGTTGCTTCCACGGATGCCATCAAGAGGTCATGCAAACCGGCAGGTCGACAATGATTAAACTGAAAGTTCTACCATGGGTTTCTTTGTTGACGTGAAATTAGACGGAAACTTGAATTAAGTTTTGTTTGGGGTTTGGAATAATTAAAAGGTTTTGAATTTTTATGTTCATTCAAATGAATTTTTGTACACTTGAAAATTTCACTATCATGGAAGATGGAGATGAATTCTTGGATTTTTCTTAAGTGGTTTCAATCTTGCAGTGACAGCCGTGAGGTTTGCTCTTGGAGAAAAAGAATATATTAAAAAAAGAAAAAAGGAAAAAAAAAGGGAACTTTGCTTTGCACCGGCAAAAGAGATGTACTGATCATATTGGACAGATGGCACAATCTTGGGTGACGTGGGAATCTTGTTTACGACCGCCCTCGTTTGGTACGAGTCGTTGTTTCGTACACTGTTTCAATGACATCTAAGCCAGCGGTGGATATGCTCTCAATTTGAACAACCCATCACACCATGAGACACACGAAGGTCCATCTGTTTATTGGACCACGTAAACATTTCATATCATGAACCAAAAAAATCAGATTTGTTGGTATTAAATGTCGTCCTGTTTCACGTGGGATGCTAGGCCATATGGTCATGAAACATGACGTCATATAATATCATGAACTGTGCGTGCCTTTGCCTATATAAACCCCTCCAAGAAAGATATCCATACACCAAGTTTCCATCATGGATTTTAGAACACACTTGCAAGCTGATGAGCAGCAAATTTTTGAATGCCAGATGCAATCCCAAGCCTCTTACGACTTGACACAACATGAAAGACGATCTGCCAATTACAAGCCAAATATTTGGAAACATGGTTTCCTTGAATCTCTTGACAGCAAATACCATGTGAGTTTTCTTTCTCCTCCAAATTAACTTCCTGCTATAGCTATTAATTTCTCGATATTTATTAATGAATGATAATTAATATTGTGTATCTTAACTGAGTGCAGGGAGATGATTATAAAAAGCAGTCTGAGAAGCTCATAGAAGATGTTAAGAATATGATGTTTGTTGAAACTGAAGATTCAATAGCTCAGTTAGAGCTAGTTGACATCATCACAAAACTAAGCCTCACGAACCACTTTGAAAAGGAAATCAAGGAAACCCTAGACACAATAGCATCTGTTGAAAATAACAACCCCTGCATAAGCATAACAGATGACCTCTATACCACTGCCCTGTACTTTAAGATCCTTAGGCAGCAGGGCTACAAAGTATCACAAGGTAAATATATATTCGTTGCAGAATTAACTGTCATATATTTGCATGAACTTGTAAAAAACTCCCATAACTTAATCTTATTTCAGATTTATTTGGTGGCTTCATGGATGAGGAGGGTACATTAAAGAAAAGCCATCTTTCGGATGTCAAAGGAATGCTTGAACTTTTGGAGGCCTCGAACCTGGCTTTAGAAGGTGAAGATATCTTAGATGAGATTAAAGCTTCATCTATGGTAGCTCTCAGAGATTCCAGTATCTGTAATCTGGACAATAACCTTGCCAAGCATGTGGTCCATGCTTTGGAGCTTTCATCACACAGAAGAGTGCGGTGGTTCAATGTTAAAGGGCACATAGACGCCTATGAGAAAGACAATCAAGTCAACACCATTTTAATTGAATTGGCTAGACTTAACTTTAACATGGTTCAAGCAAAACTGCAAAAAGATCTAAGGGAAGCATCCAAGTAAGTAAAAGCAAACCAACCAATCAATATCTTCTTTGGAAAACGAAAGAATATATCATTTAAGGAACGTCTTAAAAAAACAAAAATAATGCTAATGTTGTTGCCTTTATTGTTTTCTGATGTGTGACTTAGGTGGTGGAACAATCTGGGCCTCACACAGCACTTGAACTTTGCAAGAGATAGACTGGTCGAGTGTTTCATGTGTGCTGTGGGGTTAAATTTCCAGCCTGACTACACATCTTTTAGAATATGGCTTACCAAAGTCGTCAACTTGGTTCTGATAATAGATGACGTTTACGACATTTATGGCTCACTGGAAGAGCTAAAGTGCTTCACCACCGCCGTTGACCGGTTAGTTAGTTTTGGTATAAAACACATTAGTATTGGAAAAGGGTTAGTTTCATAATGTCTAGATAATTGTCATCAATGTCTTCAACTCAGGTGGGATGTTGGGGAAACTGAGGGGCTTCCAGAGTGTATGAAGATCTGCTTCCAAGTGCTCTACAACACTACTTGTGAAATTGCTCATGAAATTGAGGAGGAAAATGGTTGGAATCAAGTATTACCTCGGTTGAGGAAAGTGGTACTAGCCTAGCTTAGGCCTGTTCCTTTTTCTTTTTTTTTTTCTTTTTATATCTTCATATATGGTTGAGCTTGAAATTATTATTTTGACTCTTTAGTGGGCAGATTTTTGTAAAGCATTATTAGTGGAGGCAGAGTGGTACAGTAGGGCCTATACACCATCCTTGGAAGAGTACCTCAGTATTGGATGCATTTCATCATCAGTTTCAGTGATTTTGGTTCATACATTTTTCTCCACAACTCATCATCAGGGAATCCAAGAGATTGCTGATTTTCTGCACAAGAATGAAGATCTTGTGTATAATTTATCTCTGATAGTTCGGCTCAGCAATGATTTGGGAACTTCTGCAGTAATCTTCTTTCTTTGTTAGGTTTTCTTAATCAAACAAGTCAAATATAATATAGTCTAATCTAATCAAATTAATTAATTGATTGATTAACAGGCAGAACAAGAGCGAGGGGATGCTCCCTCAGCAATCCTATGTTACATGAGAGAGGTGAATGTTTGTGAAGATATAGCTAAGAAGAACATCAAGGACATGATAGAGAATGCATGGAAGAAAATAAATGGAAAATGCTTGAGAACCCCACAAGTGCCTTCTCTGTCACCATTCATCAACATTACCACAAATATTGCTCGAGTGGCGCACAGCCTTTACCAGCAAGATGGAGATGGGTTTGGTGATCAAGAACAAGGGACTCGCATCCTGATGATTCAGTCTCTACTAGTTCAGCCTTTGCTACTTTGAGATCAATTGAACTAATAACTAAGCTCTCTATGTATTTAATTAGAATAAGGTACACATGATGTACCAGCATTTTTATTTTACTTTGGACGATGTACTTATCTTTGGATCAACATTATTGGCCAAAGTAATATATATATATATATATATATATGTGAGTTTTTCTACGTTACAAATGTCCTTATTTTAAAAAAAATGCACACATCCTTTCTTTTTTTTGGTAACAAAGAGGGCTAAGCCCTGACAACAACTAAACATAAATCAATCTAGACCTTAAAAGGCCATCCTTGTCTTCTTGGAGGACACTAATAATACCACCTGGAGGCAAAACAAAGCAATGAATACCCATTTCCATCTCATGCCCCATCTTGGCCAGAGAGTCAGCAGCAAAGTTAACCTCCCTGAAAACATGAAAGATGTTGCAGTCCCAGGAACTCTTCCAACAGACTCTGCATATGTTTAGCAAAGTAAGGAGGGGGTGATTCGGCTCCAACTTTGCATTCAAAAGGTGCAAGAGAAGAGTAGAATTAGTTTCAACAATAAGCTTTGTCATTTGCAACCTTTGAACTAGCTTTAGACCATGATACAACACCCACAGTTCAGCCACCAAAATCTCCCCATGACTCAAATTAGCAGAAAAACCTGCAAACCTGCACACATCCTTTCAAGGCTACCCTTGGATGAAGTTCAACAATCAAAAGTGTGTATGTTCTAGGTCCAACTTCAAGGGTCATCGTTGCAAAAAACCGTCCATAAGGAGAACTGTTTGGTCATTTAAAATAATGTGTAAAATAACCAAAGTCGGTTAGATAAAATTAAAACGAAAATGTAAACAATTTTTTATTTAGCCTAATATTTTTGCATGAATAATCCTTAAAATATTTTACTAGAAAATCTCTTCTCAGACTTTTTAAAATATTTTATTGTTGCTTCGCCTTGGCTTTTGCCCTTTTTTCAGTAGTGAATGAAACCTAAAAATTCAACAGTTCCCATCACTATATCAAAATAAGTACAATCAAGAAAGTCTTTACATTTAACGCTACCGTTGTCATTTTGAATCTAGTTTTGTTTGTCTTCTTTTAATGGATGATTGTTTACTTTTCAAAAAGAAGCACCGATACCGATTACTGGTGTTGGATTCCTCATTGATTTTTGATGTAACATTATCAAGGGTTTTTTTTTTTTTTTATAGCATGAATCTCTATAGTTTTATTGCAAGAGTTTGGCATTATGTAGCTTTACGTATCAGTGATGGGTATAGAAAGAAAGAGAATGATTTTCATTCCTAACTTCCCACGTGTTTACTTCCAATTAGGAATGAAGAAATACGTGGATATCACCTCAAAATCCGTAATCACATTATCTCAAAATTAGGAATCAAATCAATTAAAGAGGGGTAGTTGATCCGATTCTCATTCCTTTTTTTCCCTTGCTACCCTCCAAAATACCCTTACCACTTTAAGATAATTACAAAACACCCCAATCCTGGAAAAATAAAAACTCACACCACTTTAATATTATCAATTTAATTTCGTTCAAATATTATT